CACTCAAAGCGCATTACAGGTAATGGGGATCCCCTCCACCACCACCAGTGTGCAGCCCCACCTGGATGATGCGACAGCAGCCATAGTGTTCCAGTACACTCACCACACACCAGCTCTCAGTAGGGAGGAGAGCAGAGTGATGAAGCCAATTCATAGGTTTGATAAAAGGTTTGATGCCTAATGTATAAATACTATTGTCAATATATTTTATATAATAAGAAAATATTTCATATTTTTATAGTTTCTGAAAAAAAAACATGTTTCTTTTGCCTAGATCAGCTTGTATATCTCAGAGTTTTCGATTCCACATACTGATGTGCAAGAAATCTAAAACTGTGTGCAAGAGCTTAAAGTAATATGCAAAGAAATTCGGAAAGATCGCAATCGAAGCTGATAAACGATTTGCATAGTCAACAATCGTTATTGACAAACAGTGCAAGCGTAATTAGTAATCAGTAGATTAGTCTGGATATAAAAGTAATGGGCAAGACAAAGTGAACAGCGTTGACATTGCAAGAGAAGGAATGTTAACAAGACAGCGATTCAATTCATATTTGCCGGCCACAAAAGCGACGTCAAGTTGGAGCAGGGACACAACAGGAGAAAGAAAAAAAAAACTAGTCAGCAATTACATTTGATCGCAACAGGACCTGGATTTCACTTTATTTTGAGCAAATATGGAAGTTCCTTTTCACGGATTTGAAAAGTAAAAGTCTACTTACAGTATACTGCATATCTCTCAGTGGATTGTGGTACATTTTAATACTAGTAGGTTTCAGCGTTTTACTCGCATTTAAATCATTTGTAGGGATAATGGAATATACAGAATGGTATACAGTATAGTGAAATTGTTGTGCAGGCCCAATGTACTGTACCTGCCTGTTCAATAAAAAACAGTCAACATATTTAGCAACTAGAAACTTGTTTTCTTCTAAAATGTGTACTGTGTAGTCATGTCTATACTGAGGTCTTGTGGCGGTTTTACAGTCCACTAAATTGGCAGTTGCTATCATTGCGAAGGATAAAGAATAAAGATCGACATTGGGCATCAGGTAAGACCACATTTTGAGCTTGTGATCCACCTTAACGCATCGATTACATTTGTAACGCAACGGGGGCTCAGGCGGGCGCCCTTGCCGCATCTGGTCGGCCCAAAGTATAGGTGGCTCGAACCCGGGACTTCCGCGTCTCTTACACATTGTTTTTTTTTAATGCGAAATACGGTAAACCTTGACTTTAAAGAACTTCAGATTTAACGTACAGAATCTGCTAAAGGAGAATTTTGTCTATAAAATCAGAATCCTAAGTAACAGGTAGATGTACTGTATATACTACCTACCTGTACCTGTAGGTTTATATTAAACGTCAGGAATACCAATGGTGCCGTATAGCCAGGTACAGTATACTGTAGGCGAATCGCTTGGTGAAACGGGAGTTGTTTGCAAAACATTAAATATGGACAGTATATACTTTTGATGAAAAGGTCAAAAGAACCAGCAAGTATGTGTTTAAAGTATGGATTTTCCTCATGTAATAGTGTGTTTTAGGGCTGAAAAAATTCATTTGCGATTTAACGGACGTTAATAACGGACACGTAAATCATTCATGAAAACAGATTGGAGCAAACAAGTTAGTGCTTTATTTATGAGCTAGATAAATAAATTTACTGCACATATACAGAAACATACCGTATTAAGAATTCATTTTATTTACTCAAAAAATCAGTTTAGCAGCTGTCAAAGCAGGCCCATTGGAAGTGGCAACGTGTATGATTAAGAAGCCGGAAAAATAGCCATTAGCTACTACAGTATATGCAGCCGTACGACGGAAAACATAGTAAAGCAACAGCGGCGTAGTGTGAGCGTGTTGCATTCCTTTTCTCTTACCTTTCCACCCAGTCCTTTTTTTGTCTGTTGCTAAGCCTCTGCAGAGCTCTGCCATTATTATTTTACCTGGTTGTAATAAGGGTGTGTACACCAGCAGCTGACATGTGGCGATTATCTCTGCTGTTGGGGTACGCTGGAGTATGGGATGATAATAACGGCACCGTTAATGTGTTTAAACACACTCTTCTATAAAGGATTGAAGCTTGCCGCCTTTTTCATAGGTGGGAAAATAAAATCATGAGATCTGTGGTTAGAGCTTTATTCATTGGTATAAATCATTTTGCCCATCATTAGAAAGCTTAATAAAGGCTTTTGAAGACTGCAGGGCACAAACAGTACATACTGTACACACAGGGACACTTCAAAGACACTGGTTAACTTAGCCAGTGTAACGAATACGCCCCTGCGTATAACAGGGATCTCAGCCGCCTGGGCTGGAGGAAGTCTCCTTTAGCTCAGCCGCCAAGCCAGCCCTGTTGCATGACACCGCAGACCAGGGTTCGCACCCAGGCAGTGAAGGACAAACTGGCAGGGCAGGAGCAGCAAGGGAGGAAACTGTTACACCTGCATGTCTTTAGAAGGTGGGAGGAAATACTGTAGGAACACCTGTCATGAGCACC